TTCCAGTATTTCTAGTCTTTTGATCTTCTTTTAGATATCGGTTGTTCCTTCATCAGCTACAAATAAATTTTAATTTGGAGAGTTACAAAGAATTTTAACGTTTTAAAGCATCACTTTCATTTACACTCACTTTTGCTTCACTTATCTCTTTGTGTAGGGATAAGTCACTCTATAAAAAAAACATTTCAAATCGGAAATAAGTTACAAATAAAATAATTCCAAATGCCATCACGAATACCATCAAAAACAAATTAATTACAGACTTTATTAATATCCTGGTGAGAATTATTCACACGTCGAAAAGAATAAACTGTAAGGTATATATTGTTTGATATTCCATTTCAATTAGGAAAGTTTGCAAAAGAATTTTAAATGAATTTGAAGTTGAGTTCGGAGTGAAAGCCGCATCGTTAGTCAGTCCTAAATCCTCGGCTACCTCACTTCATCCCTCATCCTGACTGATTTATCAACTTTATACCCTACCATTGTTTTATCTGCAGTCACCTTTACGAAAATTCGTGATGGATGTTATGCATACATCTCTAGAGAGATTAATGGCTAGAATTTATTAATTTGAGAGCTCGGAGGACTTATCTTGGGGCAGGCATTCTGTGTGCTTTAATACCGGTAGGAAAGATTCTGATTCCGGATTCTAGGTTCGATTCCTGCTGTGGCATGAAATTATTTATTTTTCATTTAGTTGAACGAACATGCGATCGCGAGGTCTTCTTGGAGAAAATTTAGCCTCAATAAAGTTGACATTCTTAATTAAATGAATTAATTGAAGGTATAAAACTGGGGTGAGAAGCCTCATATAAGTAATATTACCTTCTTGTTAAACCGTTAACTACCAAGTAACTTTACTTTCTCACAAAGTACTCAACCCATAAAATCCTACATAGATTGTAGTGCTATAGGATTAGATTTCATGTCTATTGGCATATAAGTGTAGTACTTTAACATCTTGAACCATAATATATTTAAGCTGCTTAGGATTTCATTCATCAAAATTTAATAAATTAACACTCTATGTTAGAGGTTCTTGTGTATCAACTCGACTTGATGATGAAACTTCAATTAAGTCGTAAATATTTATCTCCATAACCGACAAGTACAAATTTATTAAAAGAGTTATAATAATAATTTTTTTCTTTATATATATATATATATATATATATATATATATTACTTTTTCTTATTATATTTATTATTAATACTTTCTTATTTATATTTATTCATTTATGTATAGACAAATATATATATCTTTCTTCAGTGAACTACTTATTATTCATCATTTTCATTAATTTTTTTATTTTTTATTTTTTAACTATTTTCATTGAGTAATATGATGTGCCTTTACAGTAAATGGTACTAGTTATTTTTTTTTTGTTTTCCTTTTTTTTTTCAATCTACCACTTTTGGAGGGCAATAAGTATTAAAGCTAAAAGTTCTCATTCATACAATATATACAAATAATAAATAAATAACTATAAATATTTTAAAAAGTAAATAAATAAGGAAAAATAAAATAGATCAATTACAAAAAAAAAATAAGTCGATGAGAAAAAAAATAATAAATCGAAAAAATAAAAAAAAATATATTATATAACAAAATAAATCAAAAAATAAAATCAATTTATGGTAATAGTAAGAACATAGTTTAATCACACCATTTTTACAACAAAGATAAATAAATCTAATAAAATAATACATAGCGAATAAAAAAAATAAAAATAAAACGTAAGATCTAAGGACCAGGCATTCTAATATACAGTATTTACAACAAGCCCTGTGAACTCCGAATCTGCCTTCTCCTAGAATTATTATCGTAACTTGTAAATTGGGAAAATCCCTTAATTTTTTTCCGTTCTTTACTAAAAGTATTTAAGGGATGTAAAATGCATATAACAAGTAATAAAAGAAAAAAAAAACATTCATACCACGTAATGAATATTGTTAAAATAAACAAATAAGACGAAGGATATACGTTTTAGCTTCCATTGTTATTATTTGCAAAACGGATATTCAGATAAGTTCTGATCCATATGTATGTTGCTTATATAGTATAACTCAAATGTATCCATAATGTTGCTAGAAGAGCTTGATTTATTAAATTAAAGGATATCTTTTAAAAAAAAAAAAAAAAAATAAGACCCTTTCTGTTATCCTGAGAAAAACACGGAGAACATTTTTCAAGAGAAAAAAAATCCCCTCATCCCCTTACCCTCCTCCTGAAATAAGATAGGGAAGGCATCAGATATTGATAGCAGTATCTCAAAAAACACTAATCGATGTATAGAAGAAATCGCACTTATTCAGAATGTTCTTTAACTTTGCTATATCATTTTTCCTTACCTACCATAATGTTCTGCAAGCTGTCCATTTTTTTATTTTTACTCAATATCTACATTTTATATCCATCAGAAGTACAATTCTTATGCTTATAAAAATATTTTCTAAAAAAATTTAATTGAAAAAAAAAAACGACTAAAGAAATGATGAAATCCAATTTAAGGTGACCAGGCGTTCCGCTTTCGGCAGAACAGTCCCGACTTCTATAAATATTTTCCGCGTCCCGAATCGTTTTAAAAAATTCCCGATTTTTGGAAAGAAAGTGCATTAAACTAAGAAATGGCAGGAGGATCGGAAGATAATATACAGTTTTCGGCGGACATGTAGTTATTTCGCCAGGATATGATCTTTATATTATCTTATCGATTTTATAATGTTAAGCTTTAATAATAACGAATAATCAATAAGAAACTGACTATCGAGAACTACTTAACATATTTCGCAGTGTTGACCAGTCAGAATTCGACCACCATTGTTTGGACTGAACGATAATAAAAAAACTCAAAAATTATTTTTGAATGAGGTATCGTTATTAAATGTATATATTGATATGGAAAAGGTTAAATCATTGGCATCAGCAAATTAACTAAATTTATTACTTCGATCACCGCAATGTTTTCACCTTCAATATGTTTTATAAAGTTAAAAAAAAAAAAAAAGAGCTACTTGATTGTGTAAAAACTGCTGGTACAAAACATCTAATTCTTAATAACTGTGTTATTATTGAAGTCATAAATTAAACGTCAAATTCATTATCAAATTTTTCGCTCTCAAAAATACGGTTTTAGAACTAAATTCTCAATATTATTTCAGCGAAATACTATGTCCTTGATTAACATTTTGCACCAGATTATCATTAAGTAAAATTAATATAAGTAACAACAAATTTGGACTATTGTTTGGACTTAATGAACCAACATTTTAATCAAGATCCTCCCCACACCCTCTAGCCCCTTTGGTTAATGGTGTGCCGCTGTACGAATGTTAAAATCTGATCACCTGATACTAATAGAATATACTTCCTTATTTACTGAAGCATCTTAGCAGATTGATAGGGAAATTTACATCTACGAATATTTAAAATCTCTGTAGTAATTAGGTGGATAACACATTCCGAACGAAAGTCAAGATTCATTCGGATGTCGACATGCATCAATACATGGAACGAAATCTATTTACAAGGAGCTGTAATGTCTACTGAAAGGAACCCATCTAATACAAGAAGTTTATAAATACGTATGTATCAGTTTTCCTAAGAATCTACCAAGGTGTTAAATAAATATGGAAGTACAATCCCTTAGTGTGAATAGGGTATATCTTCAACAGATCTCGTTGAGTCAATTGAACTTGAAAATCGATCAAGTCGTTCGCTCAATAAATCGTTACATACCTTTTAACGGACAGATATTTGGCAGGTTTTTGGAGCCAAATAGTTTGAATCTCACTGGAAAAGTTAGGCCATTCAACAAAATATCGGCCCAGCTGTTCGCTCAAAAAATCGTTACATACTTTTTAGCAAATCAATTAAGTTACAATATTTTAAGCACTCATCATTCAAAAACACTCAGGTGATCTCACCGAAAAAGTTGAGTAGTCAAACTGTAAAATCGATTGAGCCGTCACTTAAAAATATATTACACAGCTTTTAGCGCCTGACACATAATCGACCAAATACATAACTCTTGTGTGAAAATAATTAATAAAGTATAGAAACAATTAGTGTCTGTAAACTATTTCGTTTGTCCTATATTTAAAAGCCAATCATTTATTTAAAAAATAATAAATTAATAAAATCACTTGAAGAAAAAAACTTACGGTACGAACCATTGCATGCCTAAATAAATCCACGTAGATAAGACTGTAGGTACTTAGGGTATTAAAAATTTACTATGTTTGAAAAATGGTATATTGACTTATTCATTTCATCTAAGGTTGAGTGACCATACAAATCGGTTTTCGATGAAAAATATTGGAGGGAAACGACCCTTAGTTTGTTAACTACCTTAAACTTTACTGAATAAATTGATGATTTGAATGGAACGTTGGGTCAATAGCCTTAACAGCTCTCAAACCTGTTTTAGTGCTGTTGGAACTAGTTCTTGGATAAGTATTTGCTCTTCTCATTGATTCATTCAAATCTCTAAATAATGTTTGTGATGGGAGAAATTTGTAATTTTATATGAAGTCGCCTAATCAAAATTTTAAGTTAATCATTAATAATATAATTAGTTGATTAATGTGCTGTTTTAATGTATGTATATTTCAACCGGCTTTTTTCTTCCCGATAGCCAATAAGACAAATAATATTTTATAGGATATGTCGCTATGTGCCAAGTTATGAAGGAAATTAGCTGTAAAAGTTATGCAGCCTATCTGCATATCCTAAAAAAAAACTACCATTGAAAGAAAAAACGTTTTGTCGGCTGACGTAAGTAGTTTTTGAAATTAAAACTTTTTGCTTTTTTCTCAGCCCGCATGAAGGCCTGAACGTTGGCAAAATAAAAATAAATATAATTTATTTATTTATTATTTATATATTTATTTATTACATTTTTGTTTACTGAACACCGCAACCAATCTTCTCCTCAATTAGTCACTACAGTCAACCATCTATCCACAATTAATTTATAAATGCTTGTTACTCTCACCTGACATTCGTAGGCCCCGCTATCCCTGTTTTGAACGTACTTGATCTGGAGGACCCACTCCTCGGAGCCTTCGTTGTGGAGGACTTGGAACCGCTCGTCGTTGGTGTAGGTGAACATGGCAGAAGTGAGGATATGCCAGTCCCTCTTTCGCACCCAAGATATCTGCAGAAGAAATACATAATTGTAATTAAGGCAAATGTGCCAGTAATATAATCTTAGTATTTACGAGTTTTTAAAGGAAGGAGATGGTCCGGGGTTGCGATCATAAATAGGATCTGTAGTGGTAAAACTATTTTATTGAAAGCCGACGTTTCGACCCGACTTTGCAGGTCTTCTTCAGGGCTAGAACGGACAAAATACAAAAAAGATAGAGAATTGTGGCAGTTACATAATATTTAGACATCATTTATAAACAATTTAAATAAGCTTATTAAAATTATAAACAGTAAGTAAAATAAAATATGAAAAAAGTAAGCTGAGTAACAAGATCCTAAACTGAAGTAAATAAATGCTAACAATTGTTGTTGTGTAATATATAATAAATGAAAATGTGAATATACTTCTGCAAATCTACAGGAGAGGTTGAAAGAAAAGGAAAAAGGATATAATATAAATTAATAGACATAAAGGAATGTGGAGAAAGAAAAGAAAAAGTCCTGAAGACGACGTAAAAAACCTGAAGAAGACCTGCAAAGTCGGGTCGAGACGACGGATTTCAATAAAATAGTTTTACCACTATTTAGCCTATTTATGACCGCAAAACCGGTCCATCTCCTTCCAGTATAATGCAACGGTGAACTATTAAATATTCATTACGACTTTTTAGTTCATAATTAAATAGACAAAGTTTACCACCCTCCGGATTGAGTACTTCCAATTCCAAGAGTTTTCGTAAATAAAATAGTTATAGGTTACGATGAGATGAAACTATTTAAGAAGTTTCAGGTGGTTGTTAATAATTTGATAAAAAGGGGTCTGTATCACGGACTATAAATTTATATTCAAACTATAGTTATATGAGTTTATAATTTCAAAAACTTTATATTTGAAACTACATCAAGGTCATAGCACCATAACTATCAAAAATTCGACTTGATTATAATTTTCAGGGATCATGTTGATAATCAACAATGATAATTTTTGATAATTTCCTTTATCTTATTTATTATTTTTTTTTTATCTACAGGAAAACACAACGCTTCTTTGCCTCAATTTTATTCTCAAATGATAAATCCAAGAGTCTTAAATACAATTAACTTTGTTCACAATAGAAATGATGATGAAGTTATATTCACCGAAGTTGGTAATGTTTTTTTTTCCCCTCTATGAAACTTCATATGTTTTTTTATTATTTATTAACATTAAGAAGTAGTAGCATTTTAATAACTTATCACATGTGTAGTTTTTTTTTCATAGAATTGTTTCATTATTTATCTGTTAAAAACCAAATTTAATTGCTCATGGCAGGTGTGGATACAAATATAAAGACAAAAAAAAGAAAGTTGTAAACACAAGAACTACTTGAGTTCATTAATTTTACGTTTCAAAAGTTTTTCTTAGATTTAATGAGTAGTTTTAAAGTATCTATTGTATTATCCGTTTATAATGTGCTAATGGTTTTTATTTATTTGTTTAATATTTTGAGATTGATATCGTTTTCATTAAATACATTATTTAAATTCATTTTATATCTTAAATTTGTTTTATATTTTCAATAACAGGTGACGAAGCCCGCAATGAGAAAACTGTAAATTGGCTGCTTGTTAATTAGAAGACCCGAAACAAAAACGAATCCCTAAATTGTCCTTACGCTCGGGTGCGACAGAAGACATTTCACGTTTAAATTTAATTAACCAAGAAACGTTTAAACGTTTGTCTTTGTTAAATATTTATTCTGTAGCTTCTAAAACAAGAAAAAACGCACGGCAATTTCTTAAAATTTATTTACCAAATAAATAAATAACAATAAATATTTTTGAAAATTTGATTTTATACTCACTTGAAAAATAACATTCACTTTAAAAAGTAGATTTATTTTACAGTAAGATAAAATTCCGTTCATTGCAACTTTTTACAAATTAACTAACAATAATTTGAAGAAATGCTTTATCGAAACGAAAGAAGTTTTATTTGGATTTATATAAGAATAATAACAATAATAATTTCATATAACTTTATAATAATTCTAAAAAAAATATACACAATTAAAAAACCACGAAAGTAAAGTCCCTTCAAAAATGCATGTAAAATTCTAAATTATAATGAATTTCAAAGAAAATATTTCCTTAGTATTTTTTTTTTTTTTTAATGACAGTGTAATTACTTTTTTCATTGTGACCAACGCTATTAAAATTAAATAAGTCTTTCTAGCCTAAAAAAAACAGTAAACGGATATGCCTCAAAGCTTAAAGTATAAGCAGTGTTGAAAGGGGTCTCTTTACATAAATCTATATTCTTGTAAATTATGTCCGTTTCTCTAAGACTCAAAAATTCAAAGTTAGTAAAGGCGTCTAATTATTCAAAAACAACTAAATTTTTATTTTTAATATTTTTTTAATTGATCCCATCAACTAAAGCATAATGACGTAATAAATGTTCCATTATCGTTTAAACTTATCTCTCTTAGATTTAAAAGTGGCAAAAAAAGTTATATTAATTTCAAAGCTTCCCTTTATCAATGGAACATTGATAAATTTAACAAATAAAACATGAAAATTATTAAAAAAAACATGTACATTATAATTTTAGCAAGTTAGGAATAGAGTTTTTTATTTGTCGTTTTAGATCTTTTTTCTTATCATACATAAGCGTTATATACTATCACTTATCGATATTGTTAGTGTAAAAGGTCGTATGTAAAAATTGACTTTTTTTATAGGAGTGCCTAATAACCTGTTATTTCTTTATGATTTATTACTATATTTTCATACTTTATTTTTCTCTATTATTTTTAGCAGTTGCAGACTACAAAATGTCACCTTTAGGGCAAAGATAATAAACATGTAAAATTGCTACTTACGACTTTTTGCACTAACAGTAGCGTTATACTGTTTAAAATAAATATGCATAAAAGAAGATCGTTAATCATAATAAATCTCAAAACAATTCAATTTTACCCGGAAAAAATGTTTTAACAATAGAAGTAAAAAGAACATAAGTTGGAGGAGGGGGCTTTTTCATTTTTTTTTTTTGTAATTTCTGGCTTGTAAAACGCGGCAAAACAAAAATAAAATAGGAATTTTTTATTAAATTTTAATGGGAGCAAACCAGAGCCTATTCCACAACAACTAAGACTGGAAATAATAAACAAGGTTTAAGTTTTTTTTTTTTTTTTTCTGTTTCGTGTACATACCTCTTTCACAAATCACAATACATCTATCAACATAGGATATTAATCTTATATGAGTTTGTAATTACGAGAACTGCGATTCTTATAAAATAAATTGGTTGGAGATTATTAAGCAATGGAATCGAAATTGAATACAAAATTGAAATGATACAACAGATTATAGCTACCAAATGTTCCTGATTAACCACAGGAAACCTTCTTGAAGAAGTTGAAGGCCAACTTTAAAAGTAAATTTCATCATCTCCTTATTGTTTTCGTTGAAGATATTTTTCTCATATAACGGGCAGCTATCTCTTTGTAGAAGAATACTTCTTTATTAATTATACCGTTTATTATCGGAAACACATAATACAATTTTTGACTTTGTCAGTCACTCTTGGTTGTCCTAATGTTCATCATTTGAAAACGTCTTAAATAATTTTTGATTTGTCCATATCAAGTATAGAATTGTATTACTGTTTAGTGTCAACTTTCTATTTTGTCAGAGTTTGTTTATTTGCTGATAGCATATGTATGAAGCGGTTATTATTTGGTTGTCTATACCAAGTATATATATAAAACATCACAATCTATATTTTAATGTGGAATATAGGACTTCTCCGATAAAAAAAATTATATAGTTTGTTCATTTGAACAAATAAAAAAATTAAACAAATAATTATTTATTTATTGCTCATTGATGCATGCAGTCTTAGATTTTGCACTTGCTGAAATGGAAAAAAATCAGGTAAGCGGTTCGCAGATATGGTCGATGTAGGCCAATGACTACATACAATCATAAGTGTGTGGTTCTCGCGTATGGTTTAGGATTTAAGTAATCATAAAAGTTATTGGCTCGCTACTTATCAAGTTATCAAACATTAACAAGACTTTTGAAAGTATAGGATATTAAAAAATATAAAATTAAATAGTTTCAAGCCCTCTATAAATTGTGGAGCTAAGGACCTGTCAGTAGAAGCAATCTTGTAAGTAGCAAAGATAAGAAGTGTGGAAGAAAGATTGCGGTCCAACGTATCAGTTGCACAGCATTTGCCGATAATGTCTCTATAGAAATAGATGGTTTTACTTCCATCTCACATTAGAGTGATGGACAAGCAGGACTCGTTTCAAAAATGTTCGGTTTAAATTTAAAAATTGCACAATTGGGTTTCTAAAAATAGACAAATATATTAATATTATGGTCCATTATTGCACAGAATTAAACTTTTGTAAATTAAAAAAAAATATGTAATTATGATTTTTTTTTTATATTCCAATGAAAATAAAGCCGTTCCTCAATCATATGAAAAAATGTTGACAATTTAGAATTTTAGTTAAATTATTATTACTATTCAAATGAATTTATCTAATATTAATGGGATGTTTTAAAATATTCTGTTTAATTCCAACGATATTTTCATAAAAGATGTAAGAGTATAAGTTTAAAATATTTTATAAAATACCGAATATTTTCACGTACAATCAAACGGTCCATTATCAAATTATTTATTTATTTATTTGTTTTTATTGTTGCCTCTACCCTGCAGGGTCATTGGCAACACTTCCTATTTATACTCTATGGTAGAATTTTATGATTTTTAAAAATTGTAAGGTTTTTCTCACGTCGTTTTCGTTGTCGCTGAGGTTTACTTTTAGACTGAGCCATATCGAGATTTTTCCTTGTATTTTTAAATACTGGGCAGTCTTGGATGATTTGTTGGACAGTTCTCTGCACCTTACAGCTCTCGCAGGTCGGTGGCTCTAGTCCTCTTAGTAAGTAGGCATGTGAAAATTCACAATGCCCAATTCTTAAGCGGCAGAGGACTGTCTCTGC